CAATTCAATTACGCGCATATTAAAATGACCGCGTTCATACTGAAAAAGCATCCGCGAAGTGAATAATCAAGGCAAAAACTAAAAAAAAAAAAAATTTATTTGCATGTTGCCTGCAGTGGAATTCGAACCGGATATCAACAACTTGTGGCAAGCATCTTTGCGCACTCAGCTACACCCAGCCATATAAATTTGCTTTCAAATGTTGAATATCTATTAACACCACAGCACGCGATTTGTACTATGTATGTATGCGTGTGTTGTCGCCGCTCTCAGAGCGGCGCTCTGCATGCTTGGGGTGCGTATGTACACTTACATATACATACTCAGATGTGAACAGTCAAATACGTGCGTAATAAATTTTGTATGAAAATATTATTTTTAAATACGAACATTTTTAAACGATAATCAAATATAAAGTATTCATTTTTACTATGCATTATTTCCCTCGGTGTATTACATGTCCGTTTAGCTCCATCACGACGAGATTTTTTCCTAACATCAAAAAACACCACGGATTTTCTCTGTCACGTAAAGTCAGATTCGTGTTCAGCGACCCCAAAAACATATAACAGACTAGGTTTGGTCAAAGGAACCTTTCATAGATTTTTTTGTGGACCTGTGTAATCAATATGATTATTAATCTTTATTTAACAGGTCTGGTTGGAAATAAAACAAATTCTGCCTATTATCCATTGCATATTTATACTAACGTATGCGGAATGAAATGCGGACAATTTCTAAGCAGATTTTAAATAATTCTGGTAAACACAGGAGCCAAACTAAGTATACCAAAATCTACTGCGCAATCTTAGCAAGCATTCCACTAAACATTACCTCGTCGTATATTATAATGCTGAAATAATTTCCTTGAAAGCGAACGAACTCTGAAAATTTGCTTGTAAATTTTGTATACCGAAACTCAATCACCCTCATTGCGTAAGTCGTAAATTAGACAAAATTTCACGACTCGACAAGACTGGCATTGCCTACAGTCGGGTCGAACGAAAGTCTCGTAAAATTCGACATGGCAGCACTTTTGTCGCATTGTGTAAAGTATTCGATACGGCAACGTCGAGAAATAAACGTCATTTTTACAATTACCGTTCTATTTGTCGAGGAAATAACCATTAGTGCGTAATTTTTAAAATGAAAGTGACGAATAAACAACAATTTGAAGAAATGGTTGGATATTTAGTAGAAAACCCTTTACTGGCTATGGGTTGGAATAAAGAGCTAACCAAAAGCCAAGTAAAAGCCGAGTGGGAAAAAATTGCAACCAAATGCAACAGCTTAGGCCCCCCCAGTTCGTGATGGGAGCGGTTGGCAAAAGGTTATAAATGATAAAGTTGGAATAACTCTGAATATTACTGATTATCTTACTTTATTTTTTCAAACAAATAAAAATCAAATAGGTTTGGCATGATTTAAAATATGCAGTAAAAAGCAAGCTGCGCCATAACGCTTCCGAATCAAGGGCTACAGGAGGTGGAATTTTTACGCAGCGTATTCTTTCTCCACTAGAGGAGTCTGTGGCTAATTTGGTTCAATTTAATAAGCAAATTAATCCCGGAGGGTTAGCATGTTTTACACCACCAGATGACCAACCGTGCACAAGCTCTCAAGTTTTAAACGAATCAAATGTAGACCGTAATACTTCAGAGTCTATAGAAATAATCTCCAACGTTATAATTTATGACAGTGATGAAAATAGAGAGAATATTCCACCCTCAAGAACAAACTCAACGAAAACACCCCCGGCACCAAACAAAGAAAGGCTAACCCAAAAGAAAACATCTTCGGCGACGAACCGGGAACTTTTACTTCAAAAGCAAACTGAAGTACAGAGTAATTTGTATGAAGATGTGAAAAACTCACTTAAACGTATAGAAGGCCATTTGAAAGAAACAGAGCGCTACGAAAGAAAGCGATTCAAACTAGAGGAGGAACGCCTAAGACTTTACAAAAAAGAACTGGAGCAAAATGAAACTCAACGCAAAATCAAAAATCAACAAAGGAAAGAAAAGATACTCCTTAAACAGGAAAAACTAAAAATACAAAGAATGAAGTTAAACATTTTGGAAAGAAATAATTAAAAAAGTAGTCTTAAGAGTAATTTTGAATTAACACTTTTATTTTACACTTTATGAATAAAAAAAAGACTGAATTGCAAAACATAAATAAGTTTTAATTAATCAGAGTGTTCATCAGTGAATTTCTAATGTTTGCAGCTGTTAAATCCTCAGGTGGCAGTGACGTCGTGTCTATACTTGTTTCTTCACTATCTTCATTTATGGTCGTCTCCTGTGCAACTTCTCCTAAATGTATACAAATATTGTGCAAAGCTGCACATATATTTATAATCGATTTCGCCTTATTAAAATCGTACATTAATCGCTGAGAGCTCAAAAGGCAACGGAAACGATTTTTTCATCACACCAATAGTTCTCTCAACAACGTTTCGAGCCCTTGAATGGCACTTATTGAATGTACTTTGGTGTGTACCTTCTCCTGCGCTTCTATATGGAGTTATCAAAAACGGCTCTAATGGGTAACCGGCATCTCCTTAAATAAAGATGTTGCAGTTTATTAAAACAAATTGGAAGTTTTAAAATACCTAATAACCAAGTATTGTGCTCTCCGTTATTATATTGGGCTTGTAAATATGACCTTATGTCACTTGATCTCCAAATGAGTGAGTCATGACATGATCCAGGATATCTCGGGTCTATGCTCCTAATTCGCATTTTGTGATCACATACCTTTAGTGCAAAAAAAAATTAGGTAGGATAGAAATGTTTAATGCCACTTACCACCATTGTGTTTAAACTATAAAAACCCTTCCTGTTGTAGAAATGTGGGCGTTCTTCAGCACTTGGAGTTCTTATTGCTATGTGCGTTCCATCAACACATCCTATTACGCCAGGGAGACGAAACTTTGTATAAAAATGCTCTTTTATTTGTAATTTTTCGTCGTTGTCTGGCATTTTTATCCACTGGCAGCAAAGTTTCTCCTACATTAAAGGTATCAACTCTTTAATGATGAGACTGACGGTTGGTTGAGCGAGGCCTAGATTAAACTGGTTTCCAGCTCCATGCTGGTAGCTGCCCTTAGCCAAAACGTTCAAAGTGGCAGCTAATTTTATGGCTGGTTGCACAGCAGTACTACGAATTGCGTCTGGTAATGCAATTTCTTCCAGTACTAACTGAAATGCTTGCTTCGAAAGGCTGAAATTTCGCACAAACCTGAAAAAGTTAAACAACATATAAACACTCGCATATGTACATATGCATTTTCAGAAAAATTACTCCACATCTGGCAAATCATATACATTTAATTGCTGCCTCAAATGTCTTCGCAATTTTATCAGCTCCTGTATTTGATCCTCGTCTTCTGATGAGCTGTAAAATATTTCTATGCTATTCATATTTTGTTAAATACAATAGTATTCACAGTAATTTTTAGTTAATTTTTGCACTTTATCACTTCATAAACAAGCTGTCGTGCTGAAAAAAGTAAACGACGAAATTTGTCGAAAACTATACAGTGCTGCCAAGTTTTTCCGTTTTAATACACTAGTCGAGTGGAAATTTTAGGCAATGACGTGCAATTTTCGATACGATTCGACTCTCGAAAAACGACTGGCATTCGACACGACTCTCGCAATGAGGGTGAATGTCACGAAAAGTAACGTGCTTTTTCATTTTTTTCTCTATGAGACTTAAAAAAAACTTTATTTACAAAGGAAATGTCGGCTTTAAAAAATAGGAAAACACTAGAAGGAAAACCCACGAGTGCGAAAAAACTTGTTTCACATAGCAGCGAAATGAGACCGTAACAAGAACAGCGTTGCCGCTTTGGTAATTTTTTACCAAAACTGGTATTTTTTTTTGTTTAGAACGAGTTTGGTAATTTGGTATTTTTTTTTCAATTTGGTAATTTTTTTCAAGGTAAGTCTTTTCTTTTAAGCTTTTAATACTAACTTATTACTTATAAAAATTTATAACTTTGAACCTTCTTACAATTGCGCAAAACAAACAAATTTGCTTATGTACTTACATACGTATGTGTCTACACCTTAAGAGAGCCAAAACTTGAAAGGGCTCTTTAATGTAAGAATTTACCTTGACAACTCAGAACTTTTAGTACGAGTTCGCAATGTAGCAATTTAAGGAAACACCCCATTTTCCCCAATATGGCGATCAAAGTCCCTACAGCCCCACAAATCAGGGTTTTGGATCATTTTTCCCTGCCGGAACCAATGGTGAAAGAAAATAATTTCACAGGACTAAAACGAATGCGACCCATTTATAAAATTGTAAATGTAAATTTTAACTATCGTTTAACGATACATTTGCTGGTTTCATGTTTTCGTTTTAAGTTATGTAAAATACTTTATGTAAAAGACTGTATGTTACAACCCATTTCCACAAAACGCTTAACTACAGTTAAGAGTTTATATCGTCGCTCGAATAAAGAAACAGTGTAAATGCCACATAAACTATTATTCGATAATTGCACCATTGGATAGACAATCCTTTAATCTATTAGAAAAATCTTTAGTTTTCTTAAATATCTCTTTGGCTCACTAATTTATTCCCGAAAAACTAAATTGTATTTGTATGGTTTGTAATGGTTTATAAAAACTTCCAATTCGTTTTTCTCAAAACTATACTTTTCATGTTACACTATTTCATTATTCCAGCGACGATATAATTTTAACAAGAGGTGATCTGCAGGGTTTATTTATTCGTTTTTGTTTTCCTTTCATTTGCTTGTACTTAATATGAGCAACTACCTCCTTCGAGTTGTAATCTGCTCTTTTCCAATAGGCATAAACTGCAGTGGAAATGAACTATTAAACACCTTTTAAATGTTTGTTAAACTCTTATTTTATGTTTTAAAAATATTTGTGAATTTTTATACTCGGAACACATTGAAAAGGACAACCACAGCTGTAAATTGTTCATCTTCGTTATCTGAACGCTCTGTCGATGGTGATATGAATTTTTTGAGTTTGTCATAAAAGAAGAGGAAGAACTCATCTTTCGGTCGAAAAATATAAATAGATCTAAGCTGGTCACAATCCAAGACGTGATGTAGTTCAGTCGTCGCCAAAATAATTATCTACATACGTCGAAAAATAGTTTCCAATTTGTTTAGAATATTATGCTCATAAAAAGTTGGTAATTTTTTCTGAGTTTGGTATTTTTTTTTTTTTACAGGTTTGGTAAAAAATTAAAAATCTTTGTGACAACACTGAACAAGAATCATAAATTGCTTGATCTCTCTGCAAAATCACAGCGCATAATGACAATAGAGTAAGTAATAAAGTAAGCAAAAAAAACATTAGAGACTATGCAGAGCCAGGGATATAGTGAAATATGTGCAAACCAATCTACCCAAGATTTTTTAAACCTTGAAAAGGAAAATTAAATGCGGCTATGAGCGCTTTCCCAAAATTTGCTTGCACCACATTCATTTCAGTCAGACGTTGGCAAAGGGTGCTGTTTTTGTGACTTTAAGCCTACTCACGTTAAAAACGGGGGATGAACGAACACCAGCGCAAAGCGTGCTGTCTTGCAAATACAGCCATCACAAGTGAACGATGCTTATAACAGCTCATACTGATATTGACTTCGGCAAACCTGTACTCCGAATCAGTGTTGCCAGAACTTTTTGGACGAACCGGCTAAATTGGCAAATAAAACCGGCTAAAAACGGCTAAAATGTTTCAACTAAATTTCACGTTTTATTTAAATAAATCACGAGTAAAAACACTATTTATTGGAGAGAAGTTACAAATTCAAGCCGGAAAAAATTTTGCCAGCAAGAATTTGCAATTAGGAAAAACATATGATTGTGGCACATGGTTGGCTTTTTTGTCGACGGTAATTTGAATAAACAAGTTCGTTATATTAAAAAATTTACAAAACTGGAGCGATTTTAAAATGAAAAATGTAAGTTAATACTAGTTTACTTAATTTATTTAGTTAATTCCAATGATTTGAAAGGCACTCGGCAAAAAAAGATTGTATTCTTAATCGGAATGCAATCTCAACCAGAGTCGATATAGTAAACCCGACAAAGAAATTGAAACGTATGTTGAAGAAAGTCGGACACGTAGATCCTGTTTTTTCCCCCTCTGAAAGAATTTTAAAAATTCTATTGCATTTTCAGTTTAAATGAAACTTTTTTCAAATTAAATGAAACCATTTTCAAATAAACTTAAACCTTTTTCAGGTCAAGCGAACCCATTTTCAAATTAAATGAAACATTTTTCAGATAAAGCGAAACCTTTTTCAAATTAAATGAAACCTTTTTCAGATTCAATGAAACTTTATTCAAATTAAAAAAAACTTCCTTTTAAGAATGTTTCATTTAATTTGAATAAAGTTTCAATGAATCTGAAAAAGGTTTAATTTAATTAGAAAAAGGTTTCGCTTTATCTGAAAAAGGTTTCACGTAATTTGAAAATGGTTTCATTTAAACTGAAAATGCTATATACAAATTCCTTTTGTTTGAAATGCAACTGTGGACACTAGCTGGCAGAAAAACTTGCAAATTTGCGTTCTTACAGAAAATTGCAAGTTTCTCTACATGAGAGAGAATTTGGGTTAATTTTTTCTTACTATCTGATATTTTGAGTGATATTTCTCGCTGGATTTTCTACATGTAATATTTATTCTGTTTGTTGGCACTATGTCCAAACACAAACGCATCTTAAGTGTCCTAACAGTGAAACAATTTCTTATTTTCTAAGTTTGCGAATAAAACTTCACACTTAAAATTAAGCATTTATAAGAAACATTTTATGACGAAAATCCCTTCTTCGTTTAAAATAAAAATAAGCGAAATCGGCCCAATTTCATACAATCCTGCCTGACATGAAAATTTTCTCCACGATAAGGCTAATAGCCATTTGTAACAGATTTTGGGTCGCTTAGTCAAAAATGGAAACATATATACATATTTGAAATTTAAGAAAACAAGGCAAATAGCAAAATCGGCTAAAAACGGCTAATTTTTTTCTGCAAAACGGCTAACAAATCGGCTGCCGGCTAAATCGAAATTTCTCCGGCTGTTTGCTATCGCAACCGGCTCAATCTAGCCGGAAAACGGCTAAAATGGCAACACTGGCAGTGTTGCCAGAACTTTTTGGACGAACCGGCTAAATTTGCAAATAAAACCGGCTAAAAACGGCTAGTTACAAATTCGAGCCGGAAAAAATTTTGCCAGCAAGAATTTGCAATTAGGAAAAACATATGATTGTGGCACATGGTTGGATTTTTTGTCGACGATTTTAGAAAAATTTTAAAGTGAAAAATGTAAGTTAATACTTGTTTACTTAATTAATTTAGTTAATTCCAATGATTTGAGAGGTACCCGGCAAAAGAAAAAACTGTATTCTTAATCGGAATGCAATCTCAACCAGAGTCGATATAGTAAACACGACAAAGAAATTGAAACGTATGTTGAAGAAAGTCGGACTGACAAGATATATAAACATAGATCCTGTTTTTTGCCCCTCTGAAAGAATTTTTAAAATTCTATACAAATTTCTTTTGTTTCAAATGCAACCGTGGACACTAGCTGGCAGAAAAATTTGCAAATTTGCGTTCGTACAGAAAATTGCAAGTTTCTCTACATGAGAGAGAATTTGGGAGCATTTTTTCTTACTATCTGATATTTTGAGTGATAATTCTCGCTGGATTTTCGACGAACAAACCTATTGTCTTCCCTACAAGGCCTTTTCAGACTGACCGATTCTCAATACACTCAAATAGAAACCAATACACACAAAAAACGCTGTAAAAATTTCCCTTCAATTTTAAGGCAGTAAAACAACGACCTTAAGTAAACATCAAACGAAGCCATATGTTGACAAGGGATGCAAAATCACAGTTACACAAAAGAACTGGTCACATTTTTCAGAAATCCCTTCAATTCTGATGTAAAATATGATGCCAAAAGACTGCAGATCTCTCATTTAGATGACCGGTCATATGACCGGCAGATGTCTCGTAGGATTCCCAGAGAGTTTTGCTTTACATAGAAATTTGTGTTCTTTTATTTTCATTTTGACTCCCTTCAGTGTTGGTTCCTTTAATTCAAGTTGGCATTCGGTTTTTGGAATTTAAATAAGTTCTCAGCAAAAAAGCTTGTTTGAAAAAATACATATGTGTACATAGTGCTTGAAAATATAAATTTTTCCCTTACCTTAAACCTTTGGGAGTGGGCAAAAATAATGTTT